CAAGAATGATTGTATACTCTCAATAATTAGATTAATTAATTAGAGAACTAACGAAATCTACATCTTACAAATTTAATATCAAATTCTTCAAAAAAAAAGTTTTAAAATTTTTAAAAAACGAAAGTAATTTGTAGATGTGCGTAATATACATTTAGAGGATGATGCTACCGGTTCATTTACGATTGTATTTGTTTTTATTATGTTTATAAAATAAAAATAAAAAATACAAATGTGATGCACTTACTGCTTGAGAAGGCCCTAAGAACTGCGCAAAAGCAGGCACGAGACCGAGCACCAGGAAAACATAACCGGTAGAAAAGTGCCTGCTCATTGTAATTCACTTTCTTAATACTGCAGGAAGTTGCTGGTAGGTGGATACCATTAACGAACGATAAGTAAAGCAAGTGGTATATGCTGCTGATGATGGATATATAATAAGTAAAGTAATGAGAGACACTGCAACCTGAAACACCGGTGTTCAAGGCGCTATAACAACAGAATAACTACTGAAGTTCTTTGGCTGGTAAAAGAGATCTTAGTTTCACCTCCAACACTTCTCCTTCTTGGGCAACGGACCAGAAATGTTGGCGGTGATTTTTTTAAAAAATAATTTCAGAACAGCCACACAACCGTATAAAAAGATGCAGAGCTTGATGAGAATTATATAACGAAATTGCAATATAGATATGGAAGTTGGCATCGCTTTCAGTGATATTCTTTTCGAGATTGCTTGATTGTTATCAGAAATCAAATTATTATCCAATACATAATCACTTTGCTTTGTAGATTATACTGGAAGCTCAAAGATCTTCTTGACGTTAGGCTTTCATTCTGAATTTTATCGTTTTTCTACACATCCAATTATTTATACAATTAAAAGAGTTGTATAAAGGACAAGGCTTTTACCCACGACTTCGCTTTCGTTGATGTCCATCAGGATAAAACTAAAGTTTCTAATTTTTTATGCTAAACATATACTTTGCGTACAGTGACAGTGACAGTCCTTCTTTATCGAGATGAAAAGAATATTTATATCCCTCGGGAACGGTCTTTTTTTCTGGATAAAAGGTACCTTATGTCCTTCTTTGTATCCCTGACAATAATGTGTGTACAAAATTTCATGAGTAGTTAAGACGTGAAATGCTAATAAACAAACAAACTCACATTTACATTTATAAAATTATGTATAGTAGTTACAAAATAGGATATGACTTGTTTTAATTAGTGATTCAGGTAATTTATTTGATCCAGTACTTAACACAGGACGTCGACCAAAAGTAATTATGTGATAAAATATGTGCTGGAGCTTTGAAGCACCCACATGTAGGTACACCACCCTTCGTGGTAGCAAAATTACCAAATTTCTTGATAGTATTTTATGTATGTATATTCATATATCGAAAATCGAAACTATCAGACATGAAATTGTTACTTGATTAATGTCTAATAAGGTCCTTTTTAATGAAATCCTTATTGGATGATTATTATAAAGTTCGGCATTAATTGTAATTTAAAAGGATCTGTATAAGTAACAATGAAAGTAAAATGTTCATCATCCCAATTATTATCTAACATGTTTGTTTACATAAAAAAAGTAGTGCTGACTCAGTTCAATAGATCCACCACATACGATCACCTTGGTGAATAGAAATGGTTTAATTAAAAATTACAATAATGGTTTCCGACAACACCGGTAGTATATGGTTAATTTTCTCAGGTATAGTACGTAGTACAATACAAGAAGTGGCTAATGAATACTTTGCTTTCTCTTTTATTTTGCGTGGCACAACTTTCATATTAGTGTTTGCGATAGATGGTAAAATAACAACGTCTTCATGGAGTCATTGTTGGACTTTGTGGGAAGAAAAGTATTCAGACTCCTAGTAAAAAACAAACAATTAATTAAATTTCGCAAACACCGCTTACGAGCGCGATGGAATTTTATAGTTTCATTATTAAATGATTCACTTTTTTCTATTACAGCAAGAGAAAATCGTTAAAACAATGACATTATGCGGGTATTGAAATAAGATTCTCTATATAATGCAGAATTTTGGAGAAATTTTTTGTTAAACAATTTACAAATGTGTACAGTAAAATAAATATTTATTAAATGTAGTAAATGTTTTGTATATTGTTACCTTCTTTTTCGTAATTGTCTTTTATTATTGATTGAGTAATAAATTAAGTAATTGCTTTTATTATTCGTTGTTTTAAGCAATTTGTACGTTGTAGACGTGAATGAACTGTTAAAAGTGCGGACTTATTTTTGGTAATGCGTGTGATTCATATTGATGAGCCGAAAAAATATCTCTTTTTTAGGCGCGTGAAAAAATGTAAATGTAAATGATTACAAGTTTTAGTTTCTTCCCTCCTAAGGATGCTTAAACTACTGTTGATAAAAAAGATTAAAAATGAGGAGGCATTAGAAAGAGTAGGAGAACATAAGGCGTTATGGGAATCAATAAGAAATAGGCGTACTAGGTGTTGACCACAGTCTAATTTATGAGTCATCATCATTAGGTCGTCAGTCCTAAGACTGGTTGGACATATACCTCCACTCTTTCCTATCCTGAGTTAAACTTCGCATTTCCCTAAAACTAGAACAGCCCACATCCCTAACTATTTACGAACAGTAATCTAATCTAGCTCTACCTTTACCCCTCCTAACTCCTGTTTCTGCCTCTAATATGACTCTGACTAGACCTTTATTCCTGAGAAGGTGTCCTACCAACCTGTCTCGCCTATTTTTTATTAACTTCCACAGAGTCCTCTGTTCTCCTATTCTTTCCAATACCTCTTCATTTTTAACCTTTTCTACCCACGTTATCCTCATCATCCGCCTATAACTCCACATTTCGAACGCTTCTAACCTTTTCTTTTCTACCGCGCCCACTGTTCATGTTTCGCATCCGTACAACGCCGCGCTCCAAACATACACCTTTAACAACCTTTTTCGAATTTCTAAATTAACCGTTCGCGAGCATAGAAGTGACTTCTTTTTATTAAAGGCGACACGACCCTGCGCTATCNACTAAATATACTACAGAATGTCTTTATATACAACATTCACAGTTTTTTTGTCATTAGACAATACAAACCGGCCTCCCGGTCGGTACCGCCGCAACCGCTATGTTTGCATTTTAAGTTTGTAGTATCTTCGAAAATATTCATTTAAATTACATGCTGTAGAGGGCCATATTGATCTATATTTACTGCACAATGTATTTAAGGTACTTAATTGGATAAGAATTAATGCCGTGTTGCTTAAAATCGTTTCGTAAATAAGTCATTATTTCTCATAAAAAGTAAAGGATAAAAAATAGTTATTGTGGGTTATCCCTAAGAGATAGACATATACCATCCCGGACTTTTTTGTAGATCTTTTTAAAATGTACAATACTTTAGTGGATTATTTTGATCTATCTTGTAGGGTTCAGCCAGCGTTTGCAACGTAAGCGCAAAAAAATGTGTTTTACATCACATTGGAAACTTCTAAAATTATCAGTGTTTCTCTACTATATTATGCATGTATTATACATATAAACCTTCCTCTTGAATCACTCTATCCACTAAAATTTAAATATCTAAGCATACGTAGGGACAGACAGCGGGAAGCGACTTTGTTTTATATTATATAGTGATGATTTAGTTTATCTGGTACGTTTTGTGATCGATTTGAATGGTAGTACCAATTATTGTGTTTTCGATAACGAGAAAGAACTTGTCACGATTTTAATTAAAAAGTGGAATGTAAAAAGATCAAAACATTGTGTAATTTACGTACTTCCGAAGTTTGTAATAAGCTACGCATTAAAATTCATGATTTTCATCATTATGTAAGATCCTTTAGTGGTCAGTTGTTTTCTTTTCAATTAAAATACACTAATGTTTATCCAAATACAAGTTTTATATTTAAACTCTTTTTACGAGGGAATAAATGTAACTGTTTATCAAAATAGTTAATTAGTTGTAAAAACTTATACTAGATAATACGCCAGAATTTGATGGCATAACAATCCTCCAAATGTAGGTAAAAAATTTAAACCTTTTATCTTTTAAATGTAATAAATTTGTTTGGGTATTTATTTTAATTCACAACTACGACTGCGTGATACTTCTAACGTTTATGTACACATCTTTGCGCGTTACTTTCTCTTGTTAGACAGTACCTTCGGTTTCAAGAGAGCAAATGATGCTCCGCTGAACTGCAGAATCTCGATCTCGTAAAAGCATGTAATTACTGAAATTATATATCATTATTACAGTCGAAATACTGTTTGGTTACGTAACTTTTATTCAGATAGCATGTAATTTTCAGTCGTAAAACATCAGAGGTGATGAATCTACAGACAACAGGAACAAATCAGGACCTAATAAATTTTGTCTATTCAATTGTATCACGTTCCCTTTTTCATTCTATTTATTTTACTTTATGGTAGGTATAAATTAATTGTTTCGTAACCTACATAGCAAGTCTAAAATTTTCTTTCTGATGGAGAAATTGTTTTATATTGTCAATAAAGTCATTGATTTCTGTGAGTATTTTATCTTTGATCTTGAACTGATTGTGTTATTTCTTAATTCGAATAGATACCATCCCCAGTTGATATTCTTAAATTTCAATCCTTTATCTCGTTATGTGACCAGTTTTTGAATAAAAATTAAACTTATGTAATACTTGAGCTAATTTACGTATTAATTAAACTTTTTTTCTATCTTCAGATGATTTTTAACAGGTAAAGGCGAAAAACAAAGTCAGTTTTAACTTCATACCCTAACGATTTTATAAATTTCGATTGAATCTAAATTTGCGTTTGAAATATATCTTGTAATTCCTGATTTATTTCTTAAATTTGTTAAGCTAAGAGACCAGCTATTTTTCAATTGGTTCGGCTAATTATAATACAATAGAGTTACAATTAACTGGTTATTCATATTAACTAGAACATACCGTTCGAGTTCTAAAATTACAGTGTCAGATAGAGATACCTACGGTTTCTTTCTGGATAGGAAATTTGATAATGCATGCTTCAAAAAACCTACATGATAGTAACCAGTTTGTTAATCAAACAGTTAGTTACATAAGTCGATAAGTGAAATACGGCATATTGGCATATTAATCTTTATGTAGGTATTTTAAGTCATCGCTGTAATAAACTACAAAGAAAGCTAGCGGTAAAAATGAAGAACGAATTGTGAACGTCTTTTTTGAATGATGTTTTGTAAGGAGCTTGAATCATGTATGAAAACTGTTATATAATAGAAACAAACAAAAAGTAAATTACGTGCTTTGGATTGTGTTTGTCAAGAACTAACCTAGATGTACCGGCCAGCCGATAAAAGCTTGAGTAGTCTGCATCTAACATTTACTTATATTTAGGATATTAAAGATAGCACAAGCAACAACATTAAACATAAAGTGAAAACATTAAAATAAAAGAAACTAATCCTTTAGAATATGCAGGCATGTACAA